GCGCGGGTCCGAACAGGCGCTGGAACTGGCGCTTGGACGATCGGGAAAAACGATCGCGGGAGAGAGCAGACGAGAGTAGCGGAGAGAGCAGGCGCAGGAGCAGCGCCCGGGAAAAAAATGATCGCGGGAGAGAAGGCCGTGATCAAGCCGAGCGGGAGAAGCTTTCCTTCGATGATTATGACTCTGATACCATGTAAATTTTGAATAATAATGCTTTTCTCACTTGAATACATAGATAATTCATTTATAAATAGGTGAGTACAAGAGAAATAAAAAGAGGAAAGAAATCTTCCTACAATAAAGTAATTCCTATAATTATGGAATAAACATAAATACCAATAATTAAGGAATTACCCTTTTTATATTATGACTTAAATATAGCAAATATTAGATAGAATTAAAGTAAATAATAATGAAGAGCGTAATTCCACAAAAAGGGTACTGCAAAATAGAACAACAAAATAAAAAGACCTAAATAAGAATAACATAAATCAAATCACACAGAGTCCTAAAAATGGGAAATCATCTCATACAAATGCTTTTATGATAATATATTGTCATATTTAGCTTTGATTATCTTATAAATATCATATTATCGGATTCCTCTTTTGTTCCTAAATATTTTAACAAACCACTTCCTCATTTATTTGACGTCCTTTTAATTTTCAGGATTTCATTAAAAAAATTCTTCTACCAAACAATTCCGTCAATCATTTTTTTCTAATTTCCATTAATTTCTCATATGGACATGGAGTTACTCTTCTATGCATCTTCTTCAACTCAAAGCTAAACAGTTCTTTTTTGGGTCAATCTATGGTCTTCATTATTCTCTTAAAGAAGTTTTTTCAGGAAACTCCTTTTTAATGATGCTAATAAAATTGTTACATGCCTTCAATTTTAACCATGATCCAATTATCTACGCTTGAAATATAACTAAACTGAGCAAAATCTTTGGATCTCTAATCTCTTGTTCTAGCTATATTTCATTATTTTTCCCTTTCTCAGTATCTACCATATATATATATATATATATATATATATCACTATTTTTTTATCTGATGGTTGAGCCTGAGCATAGCTGAAAAAATTGGTGAAGAAGATCTTTGGGAATGATGAAAATGTTTGGGTTCCTTGGCTAGTGAGTCTTTGTCTTCCTTCACAGGACTTTATCCCAACGAAGTAGTGATTCAACAAATTTTCTATGTCTTGAAATTAATTTAATTTGGAGCAACTTTGCCATAATGGAATCACCACACAAAACGAAAGAGGTTGTAATTCGCTAATGATTTCCAATGCTCATCAGAACTAAAAAATCTATAAGTTAATATTTATTTCTTCAAATTCATTTTCATAATCTCAAGTTAATATTTCCTTATATACTATTGCCCGAACCGTTTGTCACTGGGGGTAATGTGACTAAGACTAAACCACATACTTCGAATACATCACTTTCTCTTTTTGTAAAAGTATTACTAGTCTATCCAAAGTATTTGACCATCTCTTTTATGCATATTACATGGATAAATATAAGGTTTATCTAGTTATGATATTTTTACTAGGAATTCGCATTGTGTGAGAGTATCGTTTATGCCGTGCAAAGTTATTTTTCGTGCAGACATCCCATTATTTTATATAAGACTAATAATATTGCATAGGTTCTTAGAATCTAAGGGTTTGTTTGGAATACATTTTTGTTTTTAACAAATAAAATAAAAAATGTTTGCTTACTTATTTTTGTTAGTTTTTATATTATCCTCATTCCAAATATATCTATATTTATTTTCTTAAAAACACAAAAAACAATTAAAATCTATTTGTTTATCATTTTTAAACATGTTTTTCATTCCTACCAGTCCGTCCGATGTCTTTCCCGATATCCTCCTTTGACTAAACATAATCTCTCATCTTTCTCGCCATCTAGGAAGTCTCTTGATCTTCCATGTCAGTTCTTCTGTTGTATCTCCGAAACATAACGGCAGTGAAGAAGATGCCTTTTTGCTTCCTCTCTGTTAAGTGGAGCCCGGTTTAACCAAAAAAAAAAAGGTGATATAACTGTTCTTCGACGTTTGATCGGCTGCTTTCGCTTGTGTGGTTCGAACGAGAGGAGGAATCACAAGTATCACTCTCCAATGCTTCTTCTTCGACGTTTTTGGCTTTGGCTTGCGGTAGAGGAAGAAGAAAGAAGAAGAAGATTGTTCTCCCTTGGCCTTGATGGCTTGTGGCAGAAGAGAAATTGAGTTTATTTCTTTTGTAAGTTTATCTTCTTCGGTGTATCTCGGTGTAGAGAGAGAAGAAGAGAGAACAAGGAAGTGAGAGATCCCTCTTGTAAGTCGAGACGATCGAATGGTGTAAATTCCTCAAATAGTAAAATTCTCTACAACTTCGTAAACGTAGTCAATTCGCCGAACCATGTAAATCTTTGTGTTCCGCTGTGTTACTGTTTTATAGAGTAAATTTTCTCGTTCTATTTTTTTTTTGTTTCGTTAAAGATCGTTCTTCTATTTTTCTGTATACCACAACACTCTCTAAGTTCAATGGTGCCAGAAAGCCCCGAGTTTAGAATTTTTTCGTTCTATTTTTTTTTTTTTTTGCTTCGTCAAAGATCGTTCTTCTATTTTCTGTATACCACAACACTCTCTAAGTCCAATGGTGCCAGAAAGCCCTGAGTTTTTTGCTACGGCTCTAGGTTCCACCAAGCCTCCCAATCTCACTGCCTGCATCCACCAATTCATCAGCCACATTTGCTCCTCCTAGATTTTATCAACCATGGTATCCACTCTTACAAACAAAACAAGACGAACCAACAAAAAATAAAAAAAAACAGAAAAATGATTCCAAATGACCTCTAAGTAATACATCCTTTACCATCCACCAATACTTACCTCTCTATAGTCTATATCCAAACATGTTCTGAACTTTTCATCATAATCACCAATTGCATTATACTGCCATTCCCATTCATATACTGACATCAAATTAGTGCTGCTATTTTAAAAGATGATATCTCCGGTTAGCTTCGTTGGATGTTTCTATGCTTAAAAAAAGTTTATGTTTGTTGGTTTTATTTTGTATTACATTCTTTGATTCTCCATTGTATTAATTATACAATAGTTAAAAGCTTTACCATCAACCAGTGATTTTCACATGCACGTTGTGTTTTCTTTCTGCATTTCTCAGCAGGACAGCTATACATTTTTTTTTTCCTAAATTGAAAAGAAAGGCTAATGTTTCTATACTAAACTAGGGATGGCATTTTATCAACCCCAGCTGTTTCTGCAGTGATTCGAAAGCATAAGGTATCATTCCCTGCATTCTTGATACTGTAAAGGAAATCATAAGTTTCTTTTTGTTGGGGCATTTACATACATAGCACAAATTTCTAATGCATTTACATATTTTATACCTAAGCTTTCGTATTTGCACATTCAGCACACAAAATTTTAATATCACATAAAAATAGCACTGTTATTACTTTTTAAAAGTGAAATACATCTTATCATTCATATGTTTAAAGCACCAATGTGCTATGTATGTAAATATGAAAGTTTAGGTGTGAAACATGTAATTTCATAAGAATTGTGTGATAAGTTTGTAAATTTCCCTTTGTTTTTAAGTTTTAATTTAACGTTCTGGCAGGCCAATGGAGGATTTATAATGAGCGCAAGCCACAATCCTGGTGGCCCAGACTATGATTGGGGCATAAAGGTGATTTCCCGCCTGCTGCTCAACTTTGTCCTCTCTAAATGAGGTTTACTGTGATATATTGATTTTAGGTCTCATTGTCGACCAAAAGGATTCTGATAACTGAAATTTTGCTGCTTTGCAACCGGTTTCTGCATTTTAGCTTTAGAGGATCGAAAAACTTCTACTCTTCCAAAATTTCAATTTTCTTCTCTCTCATTTCAATCATTGCTAATACTTTTATTTTATCAGTTTAATTACAACAGCGGACAACCTGCGCCAGAGTCTATCACTGACAAAATTTATGGGAACACACTAACAGTGAGTCATTCTCAGGCTATCAATCTCAGTACTATTTAATTTTGTACTAAAATTACTTTGTTATAAGAAAAAATAATTGAATATTGTTGTTATTCTCAGTCGAGGATGAGAAAGAAGAAAATTGATTGAGATAAAGGATGCGGCTTGAAACTTAGATATCATGTATAAACTGATAATGTTAATAGACGAATGGGATTTTTTATCAATAGTAGTGTAGCAAAGCAGATTGAGATTACTTAAATATATTGACACAAGTGGAAGCGATAGCTTGCAGTCTGAGCAGAGCTTGTTAAACTTGAGGTGCAGGATAGAACAAAGTTTTGGCCAAACATGAAACAGTCCAAAGTTCTTGCAAAAGATTTAGCTATAATTACGTTAAACGATGGCGAAGAAGGATCTTTATCAGGCCACATATAGTATGAAAAAATTGAATCCAAAATTTGCTGATTTTTCGACTGCCTCCAACATTTACCAACCAAGGATCATTATTATTTGAACCAAACTAATTGGCAATACATATAATGTATTTTTCTCATTATGGTTGTCATTTTTGCTCCTTTCTTTTTCAATGCACGATAATTTCTTTTAATATGCTCTTTTTTCTTGCAATTGACTCCAATAATGTATTTTAATGTGTCACAAGGCTTGTTACTGCAATTATTACTTGGTTTGTTACCATCTAGTCCCTCAAGTATGAAAATTGCATATCTTGATAGAAGCTAATTTTTAAGATCTTTTTGTTGATTATAAATATGGTGTTATGGTGTTGCGGAAACCTTTGTAAAAGAAAGGTGAATGGAACAATAACAATGGAACTTGATACTCATAAGTAGTAATCACATCAATATTTTCAATCATCAAATAATATAGGTGAACTCATTCATATGTGTTTTATTGGATGCACCTTTATACATGTGAAACAAGTAAAATCTGTTTTTGATAAAATTTATTTTGTCTTTTTGTCTCGAACAAAGGCTTCAGCGTAAGCTACACACCTTTTGTGGTTGTTTTCTTCAAATTCTCGTCTGCTAAGCATGGCTAGATTATCAAGAGAACTTTCATCTATCTTCACCTTATTTTCTTTGCTCATGATCTAAAGTATATTAAAATGTCACATGAATGCTTTATTGGTTTTTCAAATCCCAACACGTTGGGAGTCATCAACCCTTCCTAATTTCTAGCTTTCATTTTCCTCATCGACCCTCTTTCTATTACTAGTTTTATGAAAAGAACCTAACTTTTATAGAGAAGCGCTAACCAAAAGCGAATATGATGAACCGCCACAAAGCAATGACAAGAGATCAAATGACTGAGAACACAAATTTTATGGTTTGATAAAAATTTTTCTATTTCAATGTTACACCTGTAGGTGAACTGATTTAGGAGGGACCGATCAAGTGCCGCCCAACCGGCTCACGACAACAATAGGCGGGCCGATGTTTTCCGCAAGGAGCGGGGCGGCAGTTTGTCGGGCCGAAGAAGGCAGGGAGCAGGTGTGGTTCACGAGGGCCTTAATCACCTGCTCAAGCAGGAGAAATTAAAGGAGTTTTGAGAGAAAGTTTGGAAGAAAGTTTTAAATGATGACGAAGGATTCTATTAAGCGGAATAACCCAGGGTTTGTTTTTCTTTATGCATGTTTTTACAGCGCCCTATGTTTTCTTCTTCTTATGGTGTTACTAGTGACGTCTAGACTTGTGGGAGAGCCGATCTACCTCTCGAAAGGTAGATCATCTTTGTATCTGCTTGTTTTCATTTGTATTTCTTAAGGGCAGCCCTTATTTGAGTTGTTTCCATCTATCTATTGCCGTTTCGTCATTGTTGCTTGCTAATTTTTGGTTCCGGAGCATATTAAATTGGCATCAGAGCCTAGAACTTGGTTGTATGGTAGCAAAGAAAGTGGATGTGCTAGAAAGAGAAGTAGGGCAAATCAGACCGGGAATGGAAGAGAGGATCATAAACATGGAGAACATTTTTTCTTCAATTGAAAGTTGAATGGAGGATAAATTTTAGAGCATGGGAGAAATGCCGAAGATTATGAAAAAACTCATGGAGATGCAGTCTAAGGCCGTGCCGATTGCGCCAGTTGTAAATCCTAATCAAGGGTTTATCAAGGAATCTTTGGTCAGGTCAAAATAGAAGGAGATCGAACGAGAAGACGACGAAAAAGATATCATCTACCAACAAGAACATCCCCCTAGGACTCCAAGTGGAGGGGGAGTTGAGATTTTTGATGGAGGATGGGCCAAAAATTGGAGTGATGGTGTAAGGGGCACGAAAGTGTACGATGAAGGAAGGAGGGAATCAGGAGTTGGGTGTGCATATTACCGATGGAAGGAGTTCCCCCTAGATACATGGGGGGAAATACTGGAGGAAGAGGAGGTTGGGGTGAAGTTGCAAGAGTCAGAAAACTAAAGATGCCAATCTTAGAAGGGGAGGATGCACATGGGTGGGTGTATCAGGTGAAGCGATAATTCGCAACTAATGTGTTAACTAAGGAATAGAAGCTCATGGCAGCGGGATTATGCTCGGAGGGGAAAATTTTAGCGCGGTTTAAGGGATGGAGGCAAGATATCTGATGCACTCATGGGAGGAGTTTAAGGATTGCTTTTTTGGAGCGTTTCTAACCTATTCGGGAAGGAGACTACACGAGCAAGCTCTGACTCAGGGGGGGACAATTACGAAATACCGAGAGAAGTTAAGCTCTTGTTAGGGAGGTTTAGGGGGATTTCTGCAGCAGGACTGGAAAGAAACTTTTTGAAAGGCCTATAGTCCGACATGCAAGCAGCCATTCGGGCCTTGAGGTCGCGAGGATTGAGGAAAATGATAGAGCTTGCCTAGATGATAGAGGATAAGAAACAAGTGAAAAAGAACAGCAAATGCGACAATACTGGAGTATTTTATAAGAGCACCGCGACAATCACGACAACGAGAAACCAAACAATTTCATTTCAAAAAGAGACGCTGAAGGAGAAGAATACATGGACCCATCCTGGAGGGGTAATTTTAAGAGTTTCACAAATGCAGAGTGCAGGATAAAAGAGCAAATGGTTTTTGTTACCGTTGTGACGAGAAATATGCCCCAGGCCATCCTTACAAGTAGCACTCCCTTCAGATTCTTTTTGTTCAAGAGAAGGATATGAAGAGCAAGGAATCAGAGGAGGAACATTTGCATTTGGATGCGGTGAAGGTGTCCTTCAATTTGGTGGTAGGATTTACCCCGAATCACACCATGAAGGTGAGGGGGTGGATTAGGGAACAATCGATTTTAATGTTGGTAGATAGTGGGGCCACACATAACTTTTTCTTAAATCAGGTCGTGGAGAAGCTAGGTTTGAGCTGGTGACTACACAGAGCTTCAACGTCATGATAGTGACAGGGAAGATGAAGAAAAGTTAGGGAATTTGAAAGGGGTTGATTATGACGTTATATGACCTATAAATGGTGGAGGATTTCCCTTAGATTTGGGTAGCACAAATGTGTTTTTAGGGATGAAGTGTCAAGTGACTACAAATGCTTGGGGAGTTGAAGGTGGAACGTAAGTCCCTGACGATAGAGTTCCAAGTTTAGGGTAGAAAGATGATGCTGGGAGGAGATGCTAGTTTATGTAAAATGATGTTGCTCAAAACCATGGTCAATTCGATTTGAGGAACATAACTAGACTATTTGGTAGAGTTGCAGAGCATTGAAGTGATTTGAGATTCAGAGTTGGTAGAGTTTTCTGAAGGGGTTTAACAACTCTTACAACTGTTTATTGATGTCTTCCAACAGCCAAGCGGGTTACCTGCCCCGAGGGAGCATGAGCACGCTATTACAATAAATGAGGGTCTTTTCCCCATTAATGTCAGACCATACATGCACCCCCAAATTTAGAAGGATGCAATAGAGAAACTGATCCGATAGCTGCTCGAGGTCGGGATTATCAGGCCTAGTGTGAGAACGTTTTCTAGTCCCGTTTTGTTGGTGAAGAAAAGATGAAAGTTGGAGATTCTGCGTGGACTACCAAACTTTAAACAAGATGATAGTATTGGACAAGTTTTTTATTCTCATGATTGATGAGTTATTGGATGAGCTTTATGGGGAAGTCATTTTTTTAAAAATTGATCTTAAGTTGGGATACCACCAGATCAAGATGAATCCGATGGATGTGCACAAGACAAGGTTCAAGACACATGAAGGACATGATGAGTTATTAGAGTTGTCGTTTGGCCTCACTAATTCCCTGTGACATTTCAATCTCATGAATAGGATTTTTCAACCTTTCATCCGTAAATTTATCATGGTTTTCTTTGATGACATTCTGGATTACAGTCGTATAGAGACAATCGTACAGAGACAGAGCACGTGAGACACGTAAGGATAGTCCTGGAGACGTTGAGGGAGCACCACTTGTATGCCAACTTGGAAGAAATGGTCTTTTGCACAATTTCAGGCGGAATACCTATGACATGTGGTGATCAAAACGAGGGTAGCTGTGGATTAGTCCAAGATCGAGGCTATAACTGATTGACCCTTACTAGGGAGTTTGAAGGAGTTGATCCTGGGTCTAACCGGCTACTATCAGAAGTTTGTGAGAGGATATGACACGATGACATGATCACTGACGGAGCAGTTGAAGAAAGACAATTTCAAATGGGAGGTAGCAGCAACACAAACATTTGAACATTTGAAGAGGGCCATGACAAGCATCCCGATATTAGCGCTTCCATGTTTCAGTAAACCATTTGTGGTGGAAACATATATGTCAGGGTACGGATTAGGAGCAGTGCTCATGTAGGACCAACAACTGATTGCCTACTTCAGCCATGTTTTTATGGCCAGAGAGAGGCTAAAGTAGTCTACGAACAGGAATTGATGGCGATTGTCTTGACCAGTCAGAAATGACGACCCTGCCAGTTGAGACGACATTTTTTTTGTTAGGATAGATCAGGAGAGTTTAAATTATATTTTGGAGCAGCGGATGATGACTGGGGAACATCAGAGATGACTATCTAAGCTACTGGGGTATGGTTTCGAGATTCAGTACCGGCTACGACTGAAGAACAAGTCAGTCGACGGACTGTCAAGAATGGAGGAACTCCAACTAACAGCCTTATCAGTACCTTTGGTCCGAGATTGGGAAGCCTTGAGTGAGGAGCTGAAGAAAATAAGGGTCGAGTTACTACAAGATCCGAACAGTCATTCAATATATGCATTGAGGGGGAAACAACTGCTCCACAAGGGGCGATTCGTGCTACCCAAGATGTCGGAGTATATTCTTAGATTATTACAAAAGTTTCATGAAAGTGAGATCAGAGGACACTCAGGGGTGCACCAGACTTGCAATTATTTGACGACAGAGCTTTATTGGTTAGGGATGCACATAGACATGGAGGACATGGTGGCAAAATACGATATGCGTTAGCGACACAAGTATATGACCACGACACTAGGAGGGTTATTTCAACCATTAACATCATCGGGGAAGGTTTGAGAAGAAGTGACGATGGATTTTATCGATAGGTTACCACAGTCAGGAGGGTTCACGATGATCATGGTGGTCCGGGATCACCTGAGTAAGTATGCACATTTCATTCTCTTACGACATCTCTACATTGCGATCTCAGTCACGAAGTTGTTTATCCTAGAAGTAGTCCATTTGCACGAAGTACTGAAATCGATTGTTTTGGATAGGAGCAAGATGTTCCTTGACCATTTCTAGAAAGAGCTATTCAAGTTGCAAGAGACATTCCTTAAGAGAAGCACCACATATCATCCCTAGATCGATGGCCACATCCTGCTTTGTTTTGTATCGGATATGCCAAAGTTATGGGCCAAATGGATTGCGAGGGTTGAATATTAGTATAATGCTTCGTACCACACCGTAACACAGGCCACCCGTTTTAGGGTATTGTATGTGTGGGATCCACGTCGCTCGATACAATATGGGAACAACGCTACACCGGTATCTAACATCGATTAGTATTTGGAGAAGAGGGACATGATCAACAAATCATGAAGAGGAAAACGAATGAACACAGGAGATATGTGCAATCTGAACTATTTAACATGGTCTACTTGATGGGGGGGGGGACTACCGATAGAAGACTTTGGCTAGTATCAACTACCTAAACTAAGAAGTCTGTGACATCCGTTCAACCTGCAAAACCTTTTATTTTTGGCCGACAAATTCCGGAATTTGTCAGCCGTTATTTTTTTGAAAAGGAAAGAATGTGATTTTTTGTAGAAATGAAAATAGTTTTAATATAAATATGATTTTTAAAAGTAACATTTTTTATTTAAAAATAGATGAGACCAAACGAGTCTCTCATATTGAATAGTTTGGATGGTTGAGCGCGATATCACAAGTAATACACTATCCCGAAGATAAGCAAATCACTTAACAATAGACTCAACCACATAAACTAAGAAGTTTGTGACATCCGTTTGGTATGAAAAAACTTTTATGTATGACCAGCAAGTTCCCTTGCCTAATATAATGATTATATAAGCTTTATTTTACCTGGGTTCCAAGTTTCCTATAAAGGCAAACCCCTATAGTTAATTACATCTCAAATGATTGGAGTCACTTGAGAAAACTCTTGATAATGATCAGTTGTTCTAGTGTTCAAGATTTCAAGGTTTAGGTTTTCACGGTAGGACATGGAAAAAAACAAGTGGGAGTGACTCAAGTAGAAACAGTTATTTCAGGAGTTCAAAGAAAAGAAAAGGTAGGGGATGTCCTAGATCTTGAGGAGAACCCTCAGTGACTTCTCAAACTATTCTACTGTGTGGCTGCATTTCAGAGAATATGTTATTTGAATGTTTAATCCTGCCAATTTTATTATTTGGGACTTACGAATGCATAATACTCGATAATGCAAATAACCCGAAGAAATAAGTGTACCACACAACAACCTCGGAACCTAAAGCGAGTTAGGACTTATGCTGCACAATATTGATTGTGCAGAAGCCTAAAAAAGGGAGTGTGAGGATTTACGTCGCGTTAGGCGAGCTACCTCGAAATCCTATGGGTTGTTATTATGCTAGGAAGAGATAATGCTGAAGAAGATCTTCTTGTTGCTCGTTCCAAGCTCCTCGTCGTGCTGCTCACAAAGTTGGCTCCAAGTTCTTGTTGTCGCGATGACTCGAGGGTTTAAGTGTTTGAAAATTGTAGTTTATATTTCACAGTTTTAGTGTCAATGTTTGGTTTCGTTTTGTTTCAATTTTGGTTTTGCATGCAGAGTAGTCAAATTGCAGGTAAATAAAAAGTACTTGAAAGGTAAAATGCAGCAACGTAAAAAGCTGTAGATAAACTGTAAAAGCGTACCTGGGCATCTGCTACTGTTGCGTTATTAATATTGCGAGCATAACATGATTTGTAGGAGATTTAAATAAACTTGCAAGAAAACTAAACAAGACGAGAAAACTCAGCACAAAGTCAGAAAAACGAGTATAAATCACAAGCAAGCGAAACACTTAGCCACATATGAAAGATCAGGACTGGGTATAAGACCTTGGTGAAAGTGGGGGCTCAGAGCTGGGCTGTGTGCTTCCCGACCTTGAACAGGAGTTACCGGCCCAACAATCTACAGAAGACAGTTCTTAACCTCAATCCAAGTGACTAGCCGTGGACCTTTATACATTTTCATAGAAAGATTTTCATGCAAAAATTATTATTCAAGTCATTTTTATACAGAGTTCTTTTAATCATGCAAAAGAAATTTTTATTTTATTTTTATAAATATTTTGTAAAGTCGTACAATCCACAAACTAGTCACTCTAATCGTGCTAGAACTACTGTCAACCTAAGAGTGTCGGGGGCAACGATCCCACCAAGAATCGGGGAATAGTATCATAGGTCCTTTCCTCTCCCTTATTGAAGATCCTTGAGGTAGGAGATAATATTCTAATAATCGCACTTCATATCCCTCTTTTAAGCACACATAAGCAAAGTCGTTATCGCCCTCGCCACGTAGACCTTAGACTTATCCTAGTCCGATGATCCATATGTGGCGTTAAGAAATTTCCCTAATTGTCAGGAGGGTTTGAGTGTACTATCCAAGCTCAAATCCCGATGCACTAGGTTTTATTGTAGGTAAAGTCATTTAGGGAATTTCACTGTTGATTTAATTAAGGAAGCATGGGTCATGTCTCGGTGCATCCTGGTGTCTAGCGTCTTGATCAGTTTGTGAATCAGGGTCAAGTGACATGTTTCATTATTCATTCAAAAATTAGGTGGATGAATGCTCATCCAGGGTGTGCTCCTAAATCTAGGAGGTCTACATTGAGGACTAGATGAATGGACTCTTACATAGGGCGTGTGCTCCTAAAACTCTAGGAAACCTACTCTTTAACTTATGCTTAATGTGATTTAAGATTTTCTATGTCTTCCAATTAATTAAATCATCAATCCTCATTTTTATGACTTAACCATTCAACAAAAATAACCAAATAAACAAAAAAAAAAAGAGAAGGTTAACTCACAAATACAGTGCAAGTAATAGCAAATGTAATTAAAAAAATCTTCAACAGGTGCAAGAAGTCAAGGACAACATAGGAGTGACCCAAACAACACATATACAGATGCAGAAATTTAAGGGCAGCATTGAGACGTCACCAATAATATTCAAACCAGCCAAACGAGTGCATACAGAAATGTTCAAGTTCAAAACCCTCAGCTAAACCTAAAAAAAAAACTTGATAGATTGCGAGTATTGTAACATCAAATCATTCATACATAAGATATATTAAAAATAAATGACTCTCTATTCCAAAAAAAATTTCAATGCATTCATGAATTCTGGATCTAACCAAACCAAATTTGAAAAGTTAGAAAGAATGTTATAAAGAAGTTTGAACTGATTTCATTGCAACCAAAACAACTGGGAAACTTGAAAGCGAAGAATAAAGAAACATGAAGTCATTGCTTTACAACAAATCAACTTTTTAAAAGAGCTTGAAAGCAATGTATCGCAAAATATTAAATCATTTCCTTGCATACACATGCAGGTATTTCTTCCTTCAACTTATTCTACTTATTTTGGGGAAAGAAAAACTCATGCACCAATTCATCTTGAAAGGAGGCATATTCTTTTTTTTTCTTTAAAAAAAAAATAATTGCAAATACTTTCAAATAAATGCCTTGAACACAAAAATTTCAACATGCCCTTTTAATACCCTTTTAAATAACTAATATGTTCAGGGAGATCAACTTAGTGCAAACGAAAACTCAACAATTCATTTAAACTATCAAGATTAAATCGTGTGAATAAGCTCCGTCGATTCATTTGGATATAACTCCTTCAAAGCATATTAATTCAGAAAGCAAATATCTTTATTTGTAAAAGAAATTAAGCACATGGATTCAATGATAATAAACACTTCATATGAATAAAGCTCAATCATAAATAAATTTATTATGCACATTTCTCTCAACAAAAGTCATAAATGCATAAAAAAAATGAATGCATGAATCAAATTTGGCAAATGAGAGGAATTATACCTATGTAAAGGGGCAGAGAGTG